GGGCAGAGCGGCGGGGCCCGGGCAGCCCGGGGCAGCGGCCGCCGCCATGAAGAAGCAGTTCAACCGCATGAAGCAGCTGGCCAACCAGACCGTGGGCAGGTGGGCGCCGGGCCGGGCCGGGCGCGGGGGCTCCGCAGCCTCGGCCCCGCGGGGCCGGTCGGGGACGAAGCCTCGGGGGAGCGGCGGGCCGCGGGGGTGGAGGGGGTGAAGGCTCTGCCTCGCCCGCCCGGGGGTCGCAGCCACGCCGGGATCCCGGGGGTCCGCGGGGCTCTCCCTCGGGGGTCCCGAGGCGCTCCCGGGCCGTTTGCACCGGGCGCTGCCGGTCTGCGCCCTGGCGGCTTTCGCTTCCTTTCTGCCGCCGTTCCTCTCGGCGTGTTCGCGCCGTTTCTCCTTTCTCTCCCGTCGGAGAACGCTCCGAGCGCCTCTCCCGGACCTCGCTCGCCTCCCCAGGACTCGGTTTTAGCAAAGCTCAAGGAGCTCTGTAGCTGCAGTTGCCAGCAGTTCCCAGCTGTCGGACTCTGGGAGGTTTTTAACTGGGTAGCAACAAATCTGTTCCCAGACAGGGAAGTGCCCTGCAGCAGCAGCTGTCCCCGAGCTCAACATGCAAATTTCACCAATGTCACACACTGCTTCTCTAGCAGAAATCAACGCAGAAACTTCCTTCTGCTTTTAGTAAAGATTTCATTTGAAAATCAGTTCTCCTGTTGAGGATATAAATTGAAAGTCTGTACTGGTCCTGACAGTATAAAGTTATTATCTGAGTTTATGTCTTGGTGTTCTCCTTTCCAAGAACTCCCTCCACGGGGTGTTTGTTTTCCTTGGAGCCCACACAGCCCAGGCCAGGTGTGCCAGCTCATAAAGCCCAAGGAGGAGATTTTTAATAGGTTTGTTTTGCTATCAAAGAGAGAACAACTTCCCAAGCAGCCTCATCCTCTCGTTCCCATTTCATATGACTCAAAGGATTTTTGATGTTGTCGGGGGGGGATTGCTGGCATTCCCTGTTTGCGTGTGCCAGCCCCACAGCTCCAAATCCCGGCTGGAATGTGGAGCAATCCGGGCTGTACCGGGCAGGACGAAGAGCTCGGGGTGCTTTGTGCTCCCCGGAGGAATGCGGGGCAGGCTGGAGCCCTGGGTGGGGAGCTGGCACTGACCTTTGCCCGGGCACCAGCGGGGTGCTGGGTGTGGTGTCTGGGCAGTGCCACGGACCCGGGCTGCCCCGGGCACGCAGGGCTGGGGGAGCCTGCTCTCCGGGAATGCTGACGCTGCTGGCATTGGTTTTCATGAAAAGCTGTGTAAATGACACCGAGCCGTTTGGTTTTGCAGGTTTGGTGTTCGTTCGTGGTGACTGTTTCGTATTGCTCACCTGCTGCTCACATTTCATGTGCTAGTCAAGCATTCCTGTGGTCGCCAGGGCCTTATTTTATTTCCCAGAGTAAAATCCCGTAGCAGGGACGGCTTTTAACAGGTTTCACTTCCAGGTATCAGGGCTGAGGCTTTCAGATTGGTTTGAGAAGCACTGCAGGGCTCATGGAGGACATGAGAGACACTCAGCAGAGTCCCACAGGCAGCAGTGCATGTTCTGTTGAGTTTGTTATGTTCTGTTGAGCTGGTGAACTCTTTTTTGGTTTTTTACACTGGGATGGATCAGGAGGATCCTGTGGGTGTGTGAGTGCTGCAGAGGTGGTGGCTCAGTGCTCAGGGCCCTGCACCATGGGCAGCCCTGCAGGGAAGGGGCTGCTGCCAGGAGAAGCAGTGCTGGGGGGTGTTTGGGGTCTGAGTGAGGGGTCCATCCCCTGGGGCTGATCCCTGCCTGCCTGCTGCAGCTCCTGGGGCTGTGTTTGGATGGGCTGTCTCCTCCTGCTCTGCTTTTCCCTCCCTCAGAGCTTCCTGGGCTGTGGGAGAGCAGCCACGCTGCCCTGAGGTCAGCAGGGCTGGGCACCCTGGGGCTGTTGCCTTAATAAAGGCAAATAGTTTATCCTTAAAAACCTTATAGAGGAAAAAAAAAATGCAGCTTCATTTTTTTAGTTTATTACAGTACAGTACTATAAAACTCATGGATTGTGAAGCTATAAGATAAAAACGAATAAACTTCTGAATCCGAGCAAAAAATACCATCTCACACATTTAATCCCAACCCTGACAAAAAAAAAGATAAAACTCCACAAGGTGCTGTCTGAGTGCAGGGAGGAATGACACTGCCCCTCTTCCAGCCAGCTTCCAGGGGTGCCATCCTGGGCCTTGCACCCCAAATACCAGACCTGGCATCAGGGAAGTAACACCTTGATATGGGAAATGAGAAAGGATGGGCAAGAGCTCCATCAAAGCTGAGGAATGGCATTTATGAGAAGCCTGTGAGTCCACAGATGGAATTATATGGAGTTATGAAATACATGTAGGAAACTAATTAAAGAGGGGATTAGCTCAGTGGAACAGGATTCCACAATAATTAATAGATGTGTTAAATATTTTGCAGCAATTATCTCATGGATGTTCTTGGCTGCCTTGAGTGTTCAATCTGCTGCTGAGGACTTTATATTTCATATATTGGACAGATTTGTTGTCAGTGCTGCTGAGGGGAGCAGCGCAAGCCTTGGGAAACCTCAAATGTGAAACATCAGAGCTTGGCAGGGTGACTTGGCACAGCCTGGCACTGGAGGTGGCATCACAAGGTGATCTCAGGGCAGGCTTAGCTGGAGGAGTGAACTGGGAGCCCTGGTGTGTGTTGGTGCTCGTGGCATCCCCCAGGCTCTCACATCCAGTCAGGATAACTCCCAGGAAGCAGGGCTGGGAGCTGCAGGTGAGCAGAGGCAGGGCTTGCTGGGCAAGCACCACTTCCACATGGGCTGAATGAATGCATTGCCATGAAGTGGCATCTTGGGCACAGGGCTGATCACCCAGAGGAACCAGCTCAGAGCTGACTTTATCTTGAGCTACAGCCTGAATCCAGCTGCAAACAGCTGGGAAGTTCAGTTAGCCTGAAAAAATTAGCTGGGGAGGGAGTGGAGAAGAAAGGAGTAATTTTAATTCTGAGCTTCATGAATTTCAGGTGGCCTGTGATTTGTTAGAGGCCACGTGCTGGGATTGCTTTTCATGGGATTTCTCTCCTAATTCCTCTGAATCTTTATCTCTGTGGAGGCCCAGGGCTTGTATGCCCTGGGAGCAGCTGGTGTGCTTGGCCTGGGCACAGAGCATTGAGGGCTGGTTTAGGATATGCTGTCTCACAGGGTTGAGGAGGTGAGGTTGTTCCTTCCCTTGGGGATGCTTCCTGAGCAGATCCTCACTGCAGCAGAGCACCTGAGTGTTAGGCTCAGAAATTTAAATTATATTATGTTTGATGTCAGCAAAGTAATCCTTCACGTAGCTACGAGGGCTTGTCTTGGTTTCTGTACTCTTTTGTAAATTACAAAGGAGACAGATTTGATTAGAAGCTTGGGAATATTCTCCTTTATAGCTGCATCATCCCTAATGAAAATAAATGTTCAGAGCTATTGTCATCAAAGCTTTGCACTGATACACTAATAAGCATTTGAACTACATAGCTGAGTAATTTCCATGAGGAATGAGCCCATGGAGAGGTCTGGATGTGCTGTTTGCTTACAGAGCCCAGGTAATTAATGACATTTCAGGCTGTGACAATCTCCACGAGTTTGGCTTCCAGCCCCTGGGGAGCGACTGCTGCTGCTTCCATCAGGTTCTTTCTTCATCCTTTAGGTGCAATCCCTGAGTACCATTCTGATTAGAAATGATCCCAGACAACTGCTGGGGAGGTTTGGCTCTGGTGAAGTCACCCCAGAGCAGACAGGTGGATTTCCTTGCTGCCTTTGCTGGGAGAGATACTCGATCTGCCCCACGGCTCTGGCAGTAATTTAAACCAGGGCCAGGCAGCTCTGACTAATTAGAAATCTGGAAGAGCCCAGGAGTGCCTCAGAAGGCTCTGGTTTTGTGCAAGAGGCTGACTTACTGCGGCTTCTGTGCTCGTTTCCCACTGCTCAAATACAACTCCTTGTGTACAAATAGGTTTTTCCAGGCCCTGTACTCATGGCATTGCTGTGACTCACCAGGGCTTTTGGAACGTGGCTTTTAATAGCGCATGTCCTGCATCAAAGTTACTGTGCTGAACTATATTTAGTGTTTCTTCAAGCCCCTTGGCAATGGTCGAGTCTTGAGTTGGAACTGGAGTTGTAACATAATTATTAGATTAAAGCAGGTTGTGTTAAAATGCCTGTTACTGAAATACTGTACAAGGAGGAGCTGCCTACATTTATCTGTACATGGAAAACCTGCTGGAAAGCAATAATTTCTAGTAATACTTTGTGGAAAATATGGATGGTCCAAATTATTCCTTTTTTTTTTTCCTGTTAAAGCATTATCTGCTGATTCTTGTCTTTCCTAGAATTGCTCTGCCTGTTATTACTTAAGGAAAGTTGTTCTGCTTCTTCATGTTGTGTTGACAGTACTTTGAAACTTGCTTTTTCAGGTGTCCAGAGTGGTAAAACAAGAGTGCATCCATCTCTCTCAATCCTTCCATCAGTATAACATTAACCCTACAGTGCCACTTAATATCAAAGAACGTCTTCTTTAATGTTTTTCTGGTTTTTGGTTGGGGGGAAAAATTGAATGTGACCCCAGTACTTGAAAATTTCTGGCTCACCCAAACATCCTTTAATAGAAGTTAAATCTGCTGAGTGTTATTTACTTGCACTGCTTGTTGTGTTTGGCAGAGATCTTTGAAGAAGTGGTAAACAGGGTTGAAATATTTCATATTTACAGGGAGTTTGCAGGTTGGCATTTGTCTCCATCGGAGTGCTCATGAAAAGAAAAATCTCATTTCAGTGTTTATAATCGTTATCTTAAGCATTTCCTGTTTATCTCCAAATGAAGTTCCAGGTCTCTAATTAGGAAATTGCATTAGGTCTTTCTGGATGGCAGCTGAATCCAATGATGGGTTTAAAGGAGTCTGAGTGGATTTAATTAGGGGGATGCAGGGGCAGGGTTTGGGGCTGCAGGTCAGGCACTGGTGGGGAATGCCAGCCCAGGGATCACAGCTGGAATGAACATCTGGGGCTGTGGGACAGGGAGCACGGCAGGAGCTGCACTGG